TGTTTATACAATGAGAAGGAGATCTGGAATGGAGTCTCTGGCAAGAGGCCAGAGAAATGGTGGGAAAACCAGAAGACTCATCTGGTAGCCAAGGGGGAAAGTGTACTGCAGAAGAGAAAGAGGTGAATTGTGTCAACTTTGCTGAGACGTTAAGCAAGGTTAGAACTGAAAACTGTGCATGGGCTTTGGTGACATGGGATAGGTCAGTGGTGACTGTATTAGTTTCTGTGGCTCCTGTCACAAATTGCCACAAACTTGATGGCTTCAAACAACAAAAATGTATTATGTCACAGCTCTGGAAGCCAGAGTCCAAAATCAGTATCACTGGTCCCAAATGACGGTGTCGGGCAGGGCCACACTCCCTTGGGAGGCTCACGAGGAGAAACCATTTCTTTGCCTTTCCAGCTTCTAGAGCTGCATTCCTTGTATTCCATGGAGGGTGGCCCTTCCTCCAACTTTCCTGGATGCCTTAAATTTGTATTGGGGAAGATCTGGTGCAGGAGGGAAAACTTTGGACATGGCTCTTCCCCGATGTAAGGTTCAAGTCCCACCTCTGCCACTAACTCACTTCACCCAACTGGGACTCAGTTTCCTTATTCATAAATGAGGTTTTGGGATGAGATGATTTCCAAGGCCCCCCCTAGCACAAATATCTATGATTCTGCTTTCCCATAATGATTTAATAGTCTTTTCCAGGGTGGGAATTTCCCTAAATATAAGAAAAGAGAGAAAAATAAACTTATCTGCAGAGAAAGAATATACGTTACAGACAAACTTCAGAACTGGCTAATTGTTCTTTAATGCCAATCATCATAGATATAAAATGATCATAATGTAATAAAAAGTGTATAGTTGAACATAATGAGAAAAAACTGCACAAGAACTAGGATGAGAGGGAGGTGGGAAGGAGGGGAGGCATTGTTTAGGAGGCACTGAGTTTCTGTTAATGGTGGTGGAATAATTTATAAAAAGGATAGTGGTGATGGTGGCACAACATGATGAACGCAATTGATGTCATTGAATTATACATACGAAAATTGTTGAATTGGCAAATGTTTTGTTATATATATTTTACCACAATTTTAACAAACTGCACAAGAAGGGGAAACTATAAGTCCTTCTTGCACTACAAAAAGAAGCCCTGATGGCACAGTGGTTAAGCACTAGGCTGTGAACTGAAAGGTTGGTAGTTCGAACTCACCAGCCGTTCTGCGGGAGAAAGATGTGGCAGTCTGCTTCCATAAAGATTACAGCCTCGGAAACTCCATGGGACAGTTTTACTCTGTCCTATAGGGTCACTATGAGTCACTCGATGACAATGGGTAGTAACACAAAATGTGCAGAGAGCTTAATGTTGCTTAGGGATGGAGAGGAAGGGTATGTTCCTCCACTTAACCTCCTCACCCTCACCTGTTAGCTCACCCTTCTCCCCTGAGACAAACCTCTGTAACTGGAGTCTTGATTTCTTAACCAAATCTAAGATCCTGGCCAACAGCCAAGTAAGTTATTGTTGAGACACCCTGGAAAATCACTAACATGAGTGAGAGTTTGGACTGTAGTCATTCTATATGCATGACCTATCAAAATGCAATGATGTGCAAATAATGAAATGGAATAGTCCTGAAGAGTTCAGCACATTCAATACCTCCATAACTTTGCCTCTCTGTGCTAAGTGTAAAATCTTTCTAACATCATAATCTTGCACTTACATAAATATTTCTCCTTCCAAATGCACTTAATAGTATTTTTTTAAAAGATTAAACTGTATACACCCCACTCCTCACTTATCAGCACAGTTAGGTTCCAAAGACCAGGTCATTATGCAAAAATTGGCATTATGCAAAAATGGAAGATAACCACATCAGATCACAAAATGGAGGATGACTACATCATTACACAGCTGCCAAATTGCATCACTACATAACTGCCGAATTACATCATGACATAACTGCCAAACCACTGAGAATTATGGCCCAGCCAAGTTGACACATAACCATCACAGTCAGCGTTACTCTCGGCTCGCACCTCAGCAGTCTTTACTGCCAGATGTATGTCATTAAAGTGCAAAATAATTGGTGCCTTAGTTACCTACTGCTGCTATAACAGAAATACCACAAGTGGACGGCTTTAACAAACAGAAGCTTATTCTCTCACAGTCTAGTAGGCTAGAAGTCCAAATTCAGGGTGCCAACTCAAGGGAAAGGCTTTTTCTCAGGGTTGATTCTGGGGGAAGGTCCTTGTCATCAATCTTCCCCTGGTCTAGGAACTTCTCATCGCAGGAAACTTGAGTCCAAAGGACACGCTCTGCTCCTGGCGCTGCTTTTCTTGGTGGTATGAGGTCCCCCATGTCTGTCTGCTCGCTTCTCTCTTTTATACCTCAAAAGAGACTGATTTAAAACACAACCTAATCTTGTAGATTGAGTCCTGCCTCATTAACATAACTGCCACTAATCCCACCTCATTAACATTATAGATGTTGAAGCAGGCAAGAATGACTTTATTCAAAAAAGATTATACTAAGAAGGAGGGAAGGACAAGAAAGGCGGAAGGACTGAAGGAAAAGGGTTGGAAAGGAATATTGTAATGGGAGAGAGGGGGACTGTTTCAAGCAGAGAGAGACCACAACTAAATCTGAGTTCCTACTCTGCTGAAGCAGAGGTTGGGAAGGTTTCTAAGGTCTGAAGTGACAACTAATGGAAAACTACTGAGGTCCTTAAGGACGTTTGGCAGAGGTTGAGCAATGGTATATGTCGAGTTATCGCTTGAGTTTCCTGTTATGGGTAGACGGAACATGTTCCATCTGGATTCTGTAAGGGCCAGAGGTGAGGGAGGTCAGGGGCCTAGGGTCACAAAGTAGCCTGCCTAAAGTTCAGTGACACTGACGGGAATGTTAATGCTCTTGGTCGGCCTTTTTCCAGAACACAATAGGATGGGAGGATTTCCAGGATCGCAGGGCTCAGGTAAAATTCAACATTATCATCTTTCATTTGGCCCTCTAAGTAGACTCTCTACCCTTCCCTTCTCTGCTCTGTGCCCACTATGCACTGCACTGCCTGTTGCTCCCAGCTCTCAGCCTTCCAGGTGGGTTTGGTTAGTGGGGGTTAGCCACTGGCAGATCAGAGGGCAAGAAGAAGGTGAGGTCCTTTATTCTCCTAATTCCCTCCTCAATGGGTCTCCAAGGGGTTTCTGTCTCTCTTCCTAAGGCTACAGCTCCTGTCTCTCCATACAGAGATCTCTCTCTGTCTCCTCCCCACCTCATGAAGTCTCCCTCCCATTGCCCCTTTGCTCCCAGGAGTGATAACACCTCCCCACAGTTACTAGCTCCAGGATTGCTAGACTAGGACACTGCCTCCTGTAGAATTTCCTGACCCTACCCACGTCTCTGTAAATAGTTCATTTCTTAAAAACCAGTTGCTGTCGACTCCAACTCAGAGCAACCTCCTGTGTGTCAGAGTAGAACTGTGTTCATAGGGTTTTCAATGGCTGATTTTTCAGAAGTAGATTGCCAGGCCTTTCTTCTCAGGTGACTCTGGGTGGACTCAAACTGCCAACTTTTCAGTTAGCAGCCCAACATGTTAACCATTAGCACCATCCAGGGACTCCTCCTGTTTCCTGCTATCACCCTAATACTGGCTCAGTGGTTAAGAGCTACAACTGCTAACCAAAAGGTCAGCAGTTTGAATCCACCAACCACTCCTTGGAAACCCTATGGGGCAGTTCTATTCTGTCCTTTCGGGTGGTATGAGTTGGAATTGACTCGATGGCAATGGGTTTTGTTTTGTTTTGGTTTCGTTTTGGACTTATCTTGGGAGGGAAATTCAGGAAGAACCACACTTTCTGCTAACCATTCTGATGTGAACTTTAAAAGAAATGTGAACTTATCCCTTCCCACCCCTCTCCACCCCTCAAAGCTGGTAAAGCAGAGCACAATTTACAGCATTTGCTTACACATCTATCCCCCAGACGGGGAGCGCCCAGAGGGCAATGTTCATTTTTGGAGTCCTGCAGATGGTCGATGTTCAAGGAATGTTTATTGATCCTAACTGAACTGTAAGACCTTGGACAAGTCACTTGTCTAAGGCCTCAATTTCTTCATCCGTACAATCTTTCCAGGTACATTGAAATTTTACCCACTCAAAGCCAAGTAGGTAACATAGAAAGGTGGGTAGGGGCAAAAAGTTGTTGAGAGTGCTTTCAATCAAATGTTTTAAATGGCACATTAATTAGCACATGGTTTTAAAGCAAATGGGCATTTGAAGGAGGCGCTCCTTCCCCTTAAGTCATTTATCGAACAACAAGAACTAGATTACATGGCAGAACCATACAGTGACATATGCTACTATGGTCAAATCTGTATCTGACACCAAAAAATATCCAACCACCCATTATTGTGACAAAATAGGTTGCAAAACACTGTATACACCATGATGCCAATTTCATAAAATATTCATACCCATCTATCTGCACGGGAAAGGGGATCATTTTGGGAATCGATGGTTATTGCCAAACGTTGGGGGAAGGTGGAATTTATTTTGTGCTTATTCTTTTTACGATGGCATTTAAAAAGATAAATACATACATACAAACTATTTCCATTGGAAGAAGCCCTGGTGGCTGCTAATCGAAAGGTCCACCAGCTGCTCAGAGGGACAAAGATGTGGCAGTCGGCTTCCATAAAGATTTACAGCCTTGGAAACTGTATGGGGCAGTTCTACTCTGTCCTTTAGGATCGATGAGTCTGAATGGACTCCACGACAACGGGAAGGGAAATTTCCATTGGAGGAGGAGGAGAAGGAGGAGGGTCCAGCCTGCCGGCTACGCTTCCTGCAGTCCGAAGGGCCAGCAAGGCGGAAAGACTGAAGCAGCTGAACGGTTCGGCGCCCGGCGGCGCGCACTTCACTTCCGGGCCTCGCGGCGCCGGGGGGCGTGGCGTGGCGTGGCGGCTCCGCCCACTGGGCGTGGCGAAGGCGAGGCGAGACGAGAAAGCGCGCGGAGGAAGCGGGACGGCTATGGAGGCTTACGGTGTGCTGCTGCTGATGGGCGTGAGCGGCTCGGGGAAGTAGGTACTTGGAGACCAGGCCGCCGCTATCCGGGCCGCGGGGACGGGAGGGCCCTGGGGAGCCGCCTGCCCTTCTCTTCGCATAGGAGGAAACTGAGGCCCCGGGGACCTGCTGCCTCTCCGCCCCCTCCAACCCCCTCGCCCCAGGGCGCCTGCCCCAGAACCCCATACGAGATTCGGGTTCTCCATCTATAAAACGGGGAGGATCTGCGAATCCACGGTCAGGGAAACCCTTTGTAAAGAGGCGCCTGCGCGCGCTAACAGTGAAAGGTCATCACCGGGAAGAAGGACGCTGCGCTCGCACCTGGGGTGGCGCGCTGGGAGGGTAGTAGGCCCGAAGCGAGGGGGCAAACCACCTCCCAGGCTCTTACAGACCTTCGTCAGCCTGAGCAGAGCGACTGCGCCCCTTCTACGAGGACCTGAACTTCTCTAATTAGATTTTGGAAACTGAACTGAACCATCTAGTCTGTTGGCTTCAGCTTGAAGCTGGAAGAAGGAAACAGTGTTAATATGGAAGGGGGCCTGAGGGCCCCGGAGAGAAGGAAGGTGGAGGGCAGACCGGATCCACACCAGCTCTGCCCAGCACCATCTGGCCACACTTTGGGGTTAGGAGGGTAGCCGTTGGCTTGCTGGTTACACAACTGCTGCAGCTTTCTATCAGATGTAGCGAAACACGGGACTTAGTCCATTGAAATATATCTTTCAAAGGCCTATAGTACCTTTCGAATTTTCTAGAAGTACCCACGTGGCTCGGTGTATATGAAAGGATTTTTGTTCCAGGTAGATAGTTAGCTTTCCAAAATTCATGTGGTGTTTTTAGCTTCAAAATCAGGAAATCTTGAACTGAAATTAAAGTAAAACATAGAGCCTGAAAATCTCTAGCTGTTGTATGATTTGAAGAAGTTGGAGAATGGGAAACTGCCGCCATAGTGTGATGTGGTGGGAGTCAGGAAACCTAGGACTTGGTTCTCCTGCTGCCTGGCTGTGTGAGCTGGGGCAAATTTATCTACCTTTCTAAGCCCTGGTTCGGATGAGGAAGCCCTGAACCACATAATTTACACCTTATGATACTTATGCATTCAATAAATATTTAATGAGCTAGTGCCTTACTTTAGGTAACTGTCATATAGTGAACAAGACAGATAAAATCTCTACCCTCAAAGAGTTTACATTCTAGTACGAATGTTATTATTGTTAGGTGCCATCAAGTCGATTCTGACTCATAGCGACCCTGTGTACAACAGAAGAAAACACTGCCTGGTCCTGTGCTATCGTCACAATTGTTGCTGTACTTGAGCCCATTGTTGCAGCCACTGTGTCAGTCCATCTCACTGAGGGTCTTCCTCTTTTTCACTGACCCTCTACCAAGCATGATGTCCTTCTCCCGGGACTGATACCCCCTGATAACATGTCCAAAGTATGTGAGGTGTAGTCTCGCCATCCTTGCTTCGAAGGAGCATTCTGGCTGTTCTTCCAAAACAGATTTGTTCGTTCTTTTGTTAGTCCATGGTATATTCAATATTCTTTGCCAATACCATAATTCAAAGGCCTTAATTCTTCTTTGGTCTTCTTTATTCATTGTCCAACTTTTGCATGCATATGAGGTAATTGAAAACACCATGGCTTGGGTCAGATGTACCTCAGTCTTCAAGGTGACATCTTTGCTTTTTTAACACTTAAAAGAGGTCTTTTGCAGCAGATTTGCCCAATGCAATATGTTGTTTTATTTCTTGACTGCTGCTTCCATGGGTGCTGATTATGGATCCAAGTGAAATGAAATCCTTGACAGCTTCAGTGGTGTGGGTGATGGGCAGTAAATGAAGAAATGCATATGTAGTGGATCAGGTGGTGACAGGTGCTCTAGGGAAAAGTAAAGGAGGATAAATAGAACAAGGAGTCACTGGGTGGTGCAAACAGTTGGAGGTTCAGGTCTACCCAGAGGCTTCTTGAAGAAAGGCCTGGCAGTCTACTTCCGAAATATGAGCCATTGGAAAACCCTGTAGAGCACAATTCTACTCTGACACACGTGAGGTTGCTGTGAGTTGGAATCAGCTGTACAGTAACTGGTTTTTTTAAGTAGAACAAAGAGCTCCAGGCAGGATGGTCAGGGAAGCCTTCTCTGAGAAAGTAGTATTTGAGCAAAGACCCACAAGAAATAAGAGAATAAGCCATATGGCTGTATCTGGACAGAGGGCATTATAGGCAGAGAGAACAGCAAGTGCAAAGGCCCTGAGGTTTGGCTTCTTGGGGGACCAGCAGGGAAGCCCGTGTGATTGAGTGAGGGGGAGAGAAATGGGAGATGAGGTCAGAGAAACAATGCAGGTAAAGAGAAGTGCTTACATGCTGGGTAGAAGGTAGAGCCAAAAGGATATGTTGGAGGATTGGATGTGGGGTGTGAGAGGAGAGAGGGGTCAAGGATAACTTGAAAATTTTTGGCCTGGGTAACTGGAAAAAGGAAGTTGCCCCATACTGAGATGGAGAACCAATAGGTGGAGCAGGTTTGGAAGAAAATATCGGGAGCTCAATGTGGCATATGCCTATCAGTCATCCAGGAGGCCCTGGGTGGTACAAATGGTGCAAAGAATTAACGTGCTCAGCTGCTAACTGAAAGGTTGGAGGTTCAAGTCCACCCAGTGGCACCTCAGAAGAAAAGCCTGGCAATCTACTTCAGATAAGTCAGCCACTGAAAGTGCTGTGGAGCACAGTTCTACTCCAGCACACATGGGGTCACCATTATTTGGAGTTGACTGGATGACAGCTGGTTTTTATCAGTCACCCAAATGAATTTCCAAGTGGGTGGTTGGATACCCAAGTCCAGAGTTCCAGGGAGAAGAACTTCAGATGTAAATGTGGGAGTCCTTGTGTATCAGTGGATTTAAAGACGTGACATGTTGAGATCACCAAGGGAGTGAGTGCAGATAAAGAAGCTGTCCAAGAACTTTGCCCTGGGGCCTCAAATGTTTAAAAGGCAGGGAGATGTGTCAAATGTTGCTAATTGGCTGAGTAATAAAATTGCTGGGAGAGATTATCTTGATCTTCGAGTATAGCAACCTTGGATTCTTTGGTGACCTTGGTGGTCCCTTGTTGGGCTCTGCAAGATTGTTCATTATACTCCATACCACTTGGAAAAAACGTTTGTCATAGCCTAATAATGGATTAAGAGAAAAATAGTCTCAAAACAGAAAGACTACATTTTAAACACTGTTAAAGCAACATAATGCCAAATAATAAATTCACTTATTATGTCTATTTGTCTCCTCCCTCCCCACCTGAATGTAAGGGATCTTTTCTCTTTTGTAAATCTCTTGTGAATCTCTCTTTGGTTACCCTTTATTTAAGGCAATTCATGATGGCATCTATATCAAGCAATGAAAGAAAGTTTACTTCTTTAACATACTTATTTAATTTTTAAAAAGTGAAGCAATTTAAATAAAAATACCCAGTAAATAATTGTCAAGATGATATGCAAAACCACCTTGCATGATGAAATGGCATGAGGATGCAGTAACAGTTCTGAAGGTAGTACTCGAATGATTGACGGTTGAGCAGAATTTAGAAATTGGAAGCAAGAAAGGACTTCACGTATCAGTAATTGTCTGCCCAAATGTCAGTTTTGTTGTCTGCCAGCCTCTCCATGATGCTAGATTGTAAGCCTCAGGATGGCAGAGACCATCTTGGTGGGCTCATCATTAGATCCTGGGAACTAGTAGGTGCTCAATGAAATGCGTAGGTGATGAACAAATTATGTGGCTCAGCCCCTTTGTTTTGTAGGCTTAGAGGAGAAAGAGAATGTAGTCATTTAGTTGCAGAATGGAGACTGTGGTCCAGATCTCTGGCTCTGAGACCCAAGCCCTTCTCACTAGAACGTGCTACTTGTTAGGGTATGAACGTATTATTATTGGATTCTTTGCTGGTAATTCTCGAGTCATTGGCCCATGTCCTTTATTTTAAGAGTGTGTCTCTTTTAATCCCCAAACAATGTTTAAATGATTTCATGAGCCCCCGGACCTCGCGTGGTGTTACCAGAGGTTAAATCCCCTTATCCACCCTTCTCCACAATATCCTCAGTAGAATTTCATCACTTTATTAATTCAAGATTTTCTCTCAAAAAAATAAACATCTAGAAAACAGGGATCAAAAAAAAAAAAAAACCAGTTATTAAAGAAAAACCTTCAAGGGTTTAATGAGATCTTATACATTTGCCTCTTGAAAAATAAAATAGTGGTAACTGGTTAATTATTGCTTCATTTAAATTCCGGGAGAATGGTAAAGCCATTCTCTAGGATCCAGGGTCAAGTGCATTATTGCTTTAGCATAAAGTTATTGGGGTTTTAATACTGTCTGGGGCACCATCTGTGTACCACGCATCCTCGGATCTGAGGAAACACACACACGCTGGGAAGGGGCAGTAATCTGAACACCTGTGTCCTTTCCACAGATCGACCGTGGGCACTCTGCTGGCATCTGAGGTACCTGTTTGAAGTCTCCTAAATGTATGGTCCCCTGGGGTCTGGTCTCATTGCTTCTCTCCCTCTGCCCCTTCCTTTCTTCTGGCTGATAAACAAACAAAAACCAAATCCATTGCCATCGAGTAGATTCCAACTCGTGCTACAGTGTAGAACTGCTCCGTAGGGTTTTCTTGGCTGAAGCAGACCACCAGGCCTTCCTCCTGTGGCACATCTGGGTGGGTTCAAACTGTTTGCGCCACCCAGGGACCTTCTGGCTGGTAGTGTTTTGTGAAACTTACCAGTCAGCTGCAGACACCTCCACACGGCTTATGAAACCTGTTGATGCAGTTTTGCCTTTCTCCGTGGTGATGACAAATAGTGATGAATGAAAACAGGAGCCACAGCAGCCCGGTGGCAGGGATGGTGAAATGACATCACGAGCCTCTTCCCTCCTGTCATCAGGGCTAGCGATGCGGAATGGGGGGTGGTATTTGCAGGAATCCTATTTCTGTGCCTCCCCAGTTAGTGTTGACCACATGGTGACTGTCACACTGCACTGCCTGCTACATACACCCTCTCACTTTGTTCTTACAGCTGGGATGGAAATTCTATGATGCAGATGACTATCACCCCGAGGAAAATCGGATGAAGATGAGCAGAGGGATCCCGCTGAATGACCAGGTAACCTTTGCTGTTCCGATGCAGATCTTTCATCTGGGTAACTCAGATTGAGACCTCTGTCTGAGGCACTAGGTGTAGCCGAGCTCCTGAGTCACAAGGTAACCACGTGCAGGTGCTCCAAGAGCCAGACACACAGCAGATCCTCCACGGATGTTAGCTCTGGCCCCAAACTTCTCTCTGAACTCGGCACCAAGAACAATGCTGTCACCTGCCCAGCTTAAGCAGAGTCTGCCACAATACACTGTTGCTGGATTTTAATCTGCAGAACGTAATCCCTGAGAGGGCAGAGGTTCCCCTATGGCCCCTACGTGGGAAAGTTCATCTCCTCCCCTTCCCAGGTTCCTAGTAGCCCACCACCGTCACCAGACTCTAGCATCCACCAACCCAGAGGACCTTTTCAAAATTCAAATCTGGCCACATGCCCCTGCTGAAGACCCTCTGGGGGCTTCCCCCTGGTCTTAGGGTCAAGACCAAACTCCTAAACATGCAGGGTCTGGCCTCCACACCTGCTCAGCCTCTTTAGGTACTACTGCGTGCCCCTCCTGATCTCCACGGGAGCCTCCTGGCCTCCTCTTGGTCCCTCCCCAACAGGACTTCTGTGCCTGCTGTCCCCACTACCTGCAGTGTGTCCAGGGGGAACCCCTGCCCATCCTTCAGAGCTCAGCTCGCATGTCATTTATTCAGGGACACCCTCCCTGACCTACCTTAAGTACAGCCACCTATGTAAACTCATCATACCATGTACCTTATTGCCCTTGTCCTAGTTGCAACTTTACATTTGACGGCATGAGAATTTGATTAATATTTGGCTCTGCTACTCTTTACCCTCAAGAGGTCATTCCTGTTCATCATTGTGTCTCCAGGGCCTGGCACACAGAAGACTTCAGAAAATATGTGTGGCATGCTTGTCAGTGAATGAACGAATGAATGAACGAACAGCACTCTGTGTGCATTGTCATGTGGCCATTTCCTAGAGTGTTTCTGTAAAATCATAGCTACAGAATGAGGATTCATTTGTGTACTGGCTGCAACTCACAAGGGACTGAGGACCAGGTCGAAGGCAGGGTCCATAGGCTCACGCACTAACATGTCCAAAGGGCAGGAACGGAACGGAACTGGCCAAAAGCCAGCACTTTTGTTTTTACTTTCAGTGACCTCCATTCCATCCCAGGCGTGTTCCCCTATTTTCCCTTTGTTCTGCTTTGCAGGACTTGATTCACTAAACCGTCACTAGATCCAACTCGAGAGCACTCTGAGGGAACACTTCTCTTTGTTTTGAGTTTGTAGGTTCAAGCTTTAAACTGTCAAAAGTAAGTTCGCAACATTTGGCTGTAGAAAATAGGATTAAAGAACTATAAATTGAGATACAGATTAGTAATCTAAACATGATATTATACTAGAGATAATAAAGATGATATAGACAATCTGGCCCGACTACTAAACTTGTGTGACCTTTGGTAAATTGCTTAATCTCTCTGTGCCTCATTTTCCTCCTGTGAAGTATGGATGGTGAGAGGACCTATTTCATTGGGTTCTTGGGAGGATTAAATGAGATAATACAGAAAATTGCCTGAAGCATTCCGTGAATATCAGCTATTATTATTATTGCTATGGAGCGTGTAAAACGTGACTGTGGTGGTGTTATTTTGTTTCTCTCCTTGATGAGTGCAAATAAATGGTAAATTAGAGAACAAAGTAAAACATCCCAATGGACAAGTTTTACATGTCATTTAAATAGCTTTTCCTTTACAAGTGATGCTTGTTAAGTGGGCAGTATGGATGGCAGGGCTGGGGGTAGATTTCTGAAGAGGAATTTATTGTACAGGATGAGAAAAGCTTATCCAGACTACTGGAAGAATCACAATGAGTTACTAAATACATTCACAAGAAACTTTACAAGTGAGCCAAGCTGTAGAGAGAAGAGAAACAGGTAGATTTATATGCTTGATACCATGATTGGAGGGGGGCAAGAACACAGCCATTTAAGAGTGAAGGTGTAGCCAAGCTTAGACAGCCTTCCTGGTTGCCCTGACAGCCAAGGCCCTCATCCCCCATGGTGATGTAAGGAGAACAGCCACATGTGAATCACTTAAAGAGTTTCTGAGGCAAACACACTGGTTAGCTCTGCCTTGGGGAAGAATCTAGAGAGGGTTGCAGGAGGGTTTTGGCTTAGAGGGCTGAAGCCTGAGGTCTGAAAGGAAGGAACCTGAATTAAACATGACAAAGCCTCCTTAAATGTAAATTAATTAAAATTACATTTAAAATCCAGTTCCTCTGTAGCACTAACCACATTAACGCACGTGCCTATGGGTACCATATTGGACAGCACAGATACAGAACTTTTCTGTCATGTTCTATTGGACATGCCAGTCTAGAACAATGTCCCACCTAGGCTGTGATGAGTTATTAGCAGGATGATGATAGTAAGACTATGAAATTTCAAAGCTTTAGTCAGGGAGTCTCCCTGCATGCCAGGTCCACACTGTCCTGCCTGAGCTCACGGTGACTCTTGAGCAGAAGTCAATTTTAAAGTTTCCACTTCTCAAGTTTGTTTAAAAGATGGTGGGGTTGTTTTGTCTTGTTTTGTTTTGTTTCAATTTTCCTGATTATAAATGTACTGTTTGCCCTGTCTAGATAATTTGGAAAGTACCAAAAATTTTTACACAGAATGCATCATCCCTAGTCTTGCAAAAATAGCTACTAATTGAACTTTGGAGTTTCTTCCAATGTTTTTAGTGTATATTATTTTGCATGCATTCTTTATGTTCTTAAATTAACTCCACACCATGAAAAACCAGTCCCTCTCCCCTTCTCCCCCCGCCCCACCTCCTTCCCCTTTGTCCACCTCCCCCCAACAGCGCTGGACATACTCCTCCACCATCTGTGTCTCTGTGCCCCATCTCCCTTTGCCTACCATCCACTTCAAGACCCAATTTTCTAGATGTTTTATAGCTGTTTCTGTCAGATCATAGAAACCTCAGGCCAAGGAATCCATCCCTGTCCTCAGGATGTTCTGATTTAACTCTTGGAAGCACTTAGTTGTGTTTCCCTCCAAGCCCTGGGGGTGGAGGGTGGGGCGCACTGTCCCCCCTCATCCTGCACACAGGGACCATCAAGCGTGAGATGGCCTTGGATGTCCAGTCAAGCAGGCAGAGATGCTAATTTGGGTTATGTTGTTTCTTCCTCCCTTTCCCTTAAGACTTTTTTTTGTTTGACTTTCATAATTTATTATATTGCACACAGTAACTGTTTGGAAGGCACAGAGCTCAGTGAATTTGCTCTAATGCCTCCTCCTTGTCTCAGTTTCTTTTTTTCTGTAAAAAGGCAATCTCTATCACTTTCTTTACAACACTACAGACATAAACTTTGGAGTTTATGTGTCCTACTAAAACCCAGTTGCCATCGAGTCGGCTCCAGCTTATGGTGATCCCATGTGTGTCAGGTAGAACTGTACTCCATAGGGTTTTCAGTGGCTGATTTTTTGGAAGTAGATCAACAGGTCTTTCTTTGGAAGGCACCTCTGAGTGGACTCGAACCTTCAGCCTTTTGGTTAGCAGCTGAGCATGTTAACTCTTTGCACCACCCAGGGACATGTGTCTGAGTCCTCCCTAATGCCCTCACAATAAAGTTCAGAGCCTCAGCTGGTCAGTCAGCTGTTGACCATCTAGTCCTGACAGTTCCTCCTGACCTCCTTAATATATCAACTCCCACGCCTCCTGTTACACCAGTGCTAACATTCACTTCACCCATTTTACTCAAGAGTCTTGACATACAGCCTTTAAATCTCCCAGTCTTCGATTATGCCCTTCCCTCTGCTTGGCTGGCCCTTCTTCTCCAGCTGAAATCCTCTTTATCCTTCAAGTTTTACTCTTCTAAGGCCTGATTAAATTGACTTCTCTCCCTGTGTTACCACTCCATCTTAGGAAGGCTATCTCGTAATAGCCCTCACCACTACCCTACAGGTAATTTAATTGATCATCCACCCATGGAAGATGTCTCTTCCATCAGCTGTGACCCATTTGAGGACAAGGACCAACACCAATCATACTTATGTCCCCAATGCTTAACATGGTGCTTTGTAGATATTAGTTATTCAGTGTATGTGTATACCAAATTCAGTGTATACCAAATTCATGAGTTAAAGCCCTTTTAAAAACTCAAAACTGAAAAAAGACTGTTTATAACAGCTACGACATCCACTAAAAAATAATGCATAAAATGGAGACTACTCCTTATCTTATTTAAATTCTGAAGCAGCTCAGTGAATTATATATGATCTCCATTTTACAGATAAACAAAGAGGCACAGAGAAGTGAAGTAAGTTGAGCAAAGCAACACAGAGGGGAATCTCTCTAACCTCAAAGGTCATATTCTTTCTACTGTGCTAAAGGCCTGGAGAATCCACAAAACAAATCATTGACAAGAATTCAATCAGTGTTGGTCAGATGGGGAGAGAAAGGATGAAATGGAGGATGAGGGTGAGAGCGGGCAGGAGAGCTGCGGCACTCCGTAAGCACGTCCATCAGAGGGGACCTGAGCCCTAAAGGGTACTTGGGGTGAGTGGTGGCACTAACACTGGCCTGGCTGTAAGAAGCTCCAGGATGAGAATTTCCATCTCCACACTGGAGGCCAGGTAGCCTCTAGAGCTGTTTTGGAAAAACCTTTCTCCTTGTGGCCCAGGTGATCCTCCAGGAAAGGATCCCCATCTTCTAATTAGAACTCAGTTATTTAGCAGCTTCAGGAATAAAGTTTAGAAGTTTCTCTTTTTTTCAACAGAAGAATCCTGATCAAAAGGGGGAAAATATAGAACAGAATTTCAAATTCTCAGGCACTCCAGACTTTCTGGAGCCATGGAGACTAGAGGAACCGCTGAAACTTGCCCTGAGATCATCTTTAAACCTTAAACCAAAAATATTCACTGAAGTCTTCTTAAAACCAAACAATAGTTTAGCTTAACTAGTAAAAAAAAAAACGTCTGCCTTGAGCATTATGCTCTTTTA